GGGTGGTCCGTGGCCCGGTTCAGTCGCTCGCAGCAGCCGGGGGAACAGGTGAGGCCGCCTGCCCCGGTCTCTCATCTCATCCTCTAGCTGCCCATATCTTGCTCCCATCCTATCCCCTCCCAATCTCGGGTTCCTCCACTCCCCAGCCAATGGCCCCATCCCTCTCAACCCCATGTTCTTCATCGGCACCCCTGACCCCCCAATCCTCCCCCACTTCACTTCTCTCCTCCACCTCCTCCCTAAATCCCGAATCCCTATCATCCTCCCGCCCATGGTCCCTCTATTTCCACAGCCCAATCCGCATGCTCACCAAAATACCCCTATCCAGGGCCCCCAGCCCCATTCCTGTATTGCACATTGCCAGTTCCCCCCTCCCCTGCAGTGCAGCCCCATCCCCCTTCCATCATAGCATCTCATAGCCAGTCTCCCTCCCCCACTCTCTGCAGCCCCCCCACCCAATGGAGGCCTTTATTCTATCCTCCCCATTCCAGTGCAACTCCATCCCCCAATACCATTCCAAAGCCGCGTAGCCCCCAATACTGCAGTTCTCAATATTGGTCCATTCCTGCACAATGCCCCTCGCCCAATACCGCTCCAGCCCCCAAAGTGCCCCCAGATGCCATTCTCATCCCTGGCATTGCTGCCTCCCCTTCCCTTTTCCCAAATTGCAAGTTGGACCAGGATGGAGATCTTGGCCTTGGGAACTCACAGTGGGTCCTAGGGTACAGAGGGCATTTGGGGGTCGGTTGGTTTGTCTAGGTGTTCACGGGGGAGGGGCTGCAGGAAATTGACTCAAAGGGGAATTTGGCATTTGGCGCCGAAGGGTTACTGGAGAGGGAGGCATCCTGAAAGGGTTAATGGATTTCATGAGGTGGGGGCAGCACCGAGGGGGTTAATGGGGGGGGTTGCTGGCGGGGAAGCCGTGTGAATGAGCGGTCTGTGCCCCAGAGTTGCCATGGAGACGGTGAATGGGGGGATTGTGTGAACTCAGCTGCGGACTATTCCCCCCCATATACACACCCACCCACTCCCTCCTGCCCCACCTCCCTACTCCTACCCCTTCCTTCCCCTTCCCCTCCTCCTCTCCACCAGGGTGCATTCTGGGCAGTGTCTGGGATTTCCCCCCCATACTTTGCTCCCCATTTCCTCTGAGCCCCCACCCTTCAGTCACTTTACCCGCCCTCCCTCCTCCTTTTTCCTCTCTCTCTCTCTCTCTCTCTCTCTCTCTCTCTCTCTCTCTCTCTCTCACACACACACACACACACACACACACACACACACACACACACACACACACACATTCTCATTCCCCTCTCGTGGTGGCAGCCGATTGCCGGGCGTTCCCAATCTCCCTCCCCCACCCCTTCAGCCACTTCTTAAAGGAGCAGGCCTGCAATCTCGGAAGGCGGGAGAATGGGGAAAAACTAAATGTGCCTATGGTGTGTGTGCGTGCATGAGCATGTGCGTGGGTGCGTGGGTGCCCATGCTGGAGCATCTGTGTGTGCCTGTGTATATGTGTTGACTGTGTAACTGTGTCAGAAGGCCTGTGTCTGAGCCGGTTGCTATTTCTGTTTCTGTCTCCACCTATGTGTCACCATTATGCTGCATGTGTCTGGATATTTACCTATGCGGGTATGTGTAATTATATTTCAGTAGGTCTCTGTGTGTGTCTCTGAATGTATCACTATGTGAGGCTTTGGCTGTGTGAGGCACAACTGTCTCGGAATGTGGGACTATATGAGGGGATCTCTGTGGGCTTTGGAATGTATGTCTCTGTGAGTGAATATCACAGTGTCTGTGATCCTGGCTTGGCTTCTCTTACTCCCTCTTTGAGTCTTTGTGGGTCTATTTCTATGAATCTCTGAGTGTGTGTCCCCACACTCTGTTGTTTATTTTACACTGGACTAGTATTGACAATGCCTAGCATGCTAGGCAGACAGGTTCCTGCCCTGGGTTCTGGCATTCAGTGTGAATTAAGAGATAGACAGCAGAAAAGACCAAGGCTTAAGGATTTGGGAGCAGTGATGGGTATGGTAGGGTCTGGGGACCCAGGTGAATGGTCATCAGTGCCCTCTGCCCTGCCTGAGGGTTTGGGGATCTCTCTGTGGGACTCTGCCTATCTTCTGCTTTTCAGTTTTCTGCCTTATCGACCTGGAGTGAGATGAACAATCCTACCCTGTCCTAATGGGGAGGTCCCTGTGTGGGATTACTGGGTCCCAGGGGCTAGACAGCTCCATATTCACACAGCATGCCCAGAGATCCAAGATCTATTTCCAGCTCTTCCCACCCCCTGCCACCACCTGCTACTTTGACTCCAGCTGACCTCAATGATCTCCATTGGCTGTGGAATTGAAGTTGGGGACTATGAACTTATAGTGGCAACAATTGTCACTCTGACAACAATTGTCACCCTTTGGATTTCCCAATCATGGCCCGGCACATAGAATGGTTTTGACCGGCAATGGATCACCTACTGATCCACTGGAAACCTGAGTTCCTGGAAACCTGGGCATGTGAAACCCCTCTTAACTGTAGGAGAATAGGCCAAGCCCAGCAGGACCCCTCGGTAGCCCTCCCAGGCATCTTGGATGACATGTGCTTCCCTCTTTCCACAGGCCTGTCTGGCCCTGAGGGAGTCCCCTTTCTGAAGCGGTGGTGCTTGGACGACCAGCTCTCCACGTTGCCGGGCACCTGTAGGTGTCCCTCGAGAGCACAGTTTTGAGGTTCAAGTCAGTGTGGCCATGAAGGGGCTGCCTATTGGGCTGATGCTGTGACCCTGGAGTCTGCCTCTCCTGCCAGTCCCCCTGCCCGGAACATGTGGCTGCGGCTTGGCCTGCCCTCGCTGCCCCTGAGCCCCACGCCCGCAGTTGGCCGGAGCCTGTGCCTCACCCTGTGGTTCCTCAGTTTGGTGCTGAGGGCCAGTACCCAGGCCCCAGCACCCACAGTCAATACTCACTTTGGGAAGCTAAGGGGTGCCCGGGTGCCATTGCCCAGTGAGATCCTGGGTCCTGTGGACCAATACCTGGGGGTGCCCTACGCAGCTCCCCCGATCGGCGAGAAACGTTTCCTGCCCCCTGAACCACCCCCGTCCTGGTCGGGCATCCGGAACGCCACACACTTTCCCCCAGTGTGCCCCCAGAACATCCATACAGCTGTGCCCGAAGTCATGCTGCCCGTCTGGTTCACTGCCAACTTGGATATCGTCGCTACTTACATCCAGGAGCCCAACGAAGACTGCCTATATCTGAATGTCTATGTGCCCACGGAGGATGGTGAGTGCTGTGGCCAGGCACTGTGCCCTCCCTGCCTCCCGCCTGCCCTACTGTGTTTGTGGCTTGCATGTGATTGTGTGCCCTGCAGCATGCGTCTGTCTGTCTGTGAAAATGCTTCTAACCATCATTCTGCTTGGCCTCCCCCTTCCCCCTCCCTGTTCTTCCCTCCCCAGCATTGTCCGAGCTCCCATGTGTGAGTGACACTGTTGCCAGGAGGGGCCTGGCCAGGCCTGAGAGCTTTGACAGGTCTAGGTCCAGTGCTGGATGGGGGTTCCCTGGGGGAGTATGGGTCACTGCTGGCAGCTGCCCGCGGGAGGATGCTGGCTCCACCAGGCCCCCCTGCTGCCATTCCACCTGCTTCTAAAGGTGGTAGGTGTGTGTGGCCAAGGGAGCTGGGTGTGTGTGGAGGGCGGGGGGCAAGCCTGGTGGGCAATGCTTAGGTGCCTCCTCTTTCACTAGCTGATGCCTCCTCCCGCGGGGGTCACACTAAGGTAAGTGACAGAAACAAGGAGATGGTGGGACAGGCTCTCTGCCATGTGCCGCCTGCAGAGCAGCTCAGCTCTTGGGGTCTGGGGGTGGGGGGTGCATGCCCCTGGGCAGAGGCCTCCTGTTATTTTTTAGTTTTTTATTCATTTTACAGTAAAGCGGATTTCCAAGGAATGCGCCCGAAAGCCCAACAAGAAAATATGTAGGAAAGGAGGTAGGTAGCGAGCCGGCGGGGAGGGAGAGAGAGAGAGAGGGAGGGCTGCCTGCCCACCTGCCCTTGCCCCTGAGGGCCCTGCCTTCTTTCAAGTAGCCCAGGCTCAGGGAGTGGTGAGCAGGCATAAGGTCCACCTCATCCAAGGGTCCTGGCTGCTTTGCAGGGAGGATTTGGTGGCCTTAGACAGGTTCAGAGCAGAAGAAGCGATCCCATTGCTTCCAGTCTTCCCAGCTCCAAATTCCAGTATAAAGTGTGTGCCAAAGACAGAGCTAGTGGCTCTCTTGGTGACACCTCAAGAGAAACTCTAGGCAGCTAAGATGGAGCCAGAGGATTCCCCATCCTCAGGGAGTGGAGCCACAAGAATATCCCTCCAGTGCTTTGTTCTGGGTTGAAAGTCTGGGCTCAACTCTTCCCACCTAAAGCTTAGACCAAACATGTATACGTAGATTTAGTTATTCCTTCCACACACACCCCAGGCCCCTGCCTTACCACTCCAGTCAGAACCTAGTTGAGAGACCCAGGCTGCTGTGGTGGCAGAACTTGGGGGGTGTCTGGGCACTATGGATTGTAAGGGAGGCAGACTGTAAATTTACCCTCTTGCTCAGAGAAATTTCTCTCTGCCTATTCAAATACCACTTTATGTTTTCCACAAAGTGCTCTCATATTTAATCTCATAAAATTCTCCCTACATGTTAGGAAGCAAAGAAGGCAGGAATTAGTATCCAATTTTCCAGATGAGGAAACAGGCCCAGGGGAGTGACTTGCTTCTGCTGGAGGCCCCCGTTGCTGGTCTGTGGCAGAGCTGGGACCAAAACTTGGGTCTCTGACCCTCAGGGCGTGTTCTTTCCACTGTAGTTCAAGAAGGCAACTCGCATCTGGTCCTTCCCACCTCCCCAACTCTGAAAAAAAAAGAAAGAGATGTGGCCTGATTTGGGCCAATTCAGAAACAGTAAAGCCAAAGGAACAGGAGGACAATCACAACTCATCCCTATATCCCTTTGGCAAGCTTGGAGTTCATTTTCTTTTGATAACATAGAGCAGGGTTTCTCAGAATGAAATCATCAAGATTTCTGGGTGGGATGTCCCCTACTGCATAAGAATTTCTGGGAATCTACACGGTGAACATGTGCCCTGAGTGCTTCTGATGCACACTGGAGCATGGAGTGAGACACAATACCTAAAGGATAGTGTTTTCCCACCTCTCCACATCTAACCCAGGACCTTACACATAGTAAGTAGTACATCAGTATTTTTTACACAAATGCAGAAGCATTATGGTGCTATAGAAAAGGTCTGGGAAGCACAAAACCTGACTGAGTCCCAGCTCTGCTGCCAACTCACAGTAAGACCACAGGCAAGTCTTTTCCTCTAAGAATCTCTGTTCTTCAGAACCACAGCTGAAGGTGAAAGGAGACCATTCTGACCTTAACATTCCATTAGTCTCTAAATGAATTCAGGAAGAGGGTCTCTTGAACCTGCTACTATAAATTACATGGTGGGATCTGGTGAGGAGAAGAAATGACAGTAACATGGACCATTTCTTAGGAAGAATGATCTCTCCAGGACTCCAGTAAGCACCCAGGGTTTTTTCAGTCTAGCCCTGAGACTGGCCAGAGAGCTGACTGGAAATCCCCACTCAATACATTTACCAATGGCCATTGTGGATGAGAGGCAAGGCCATGTGCTACGTGCTGTTAGGGTATAGAGTGATGTGAGGTAGAGGAGAGATTTTGAAGACTAAAGACCTAATTACTGCCCTGAAGAAGTTCCTAGCCTGATATAGAAAACTCAGCGGGTTTCCCCAAGCCCCATAGGCTAGACTGGGAAGTGGGCAATTTGGTCATTTAGCTGTTCAAATGAGACTTCTCCAGGGCCTGTTGGCCATTTGGAACAGTTCCAAGCCTTGTCTCTTCAGGGAGACCCATACCCAGAGGTCATCATGATGTGCTTAGGTTAGGTGAAGCGGCCTGGGTGGGATCCTGCAGCTGCACAGTATCTGGGGATGGTGCCTGGCGAGGACCATGGCAGCAAGGAATTGTTCAGCAAGGGCCAAGTTGAAGGAGCAAAAGTGTCTGTGTGAAGGAGACTGGGACAATGCAGCAACACAGAAGTGTACAGAAGGGACAGCATCTTTTAAACCAGGGACAATGGATAAGAAGGGAAGGGTTTCCTGGGGAAGACATGCCCCACTCACCCACCCCATCAAGTTGCAGGGAATTGATGTCTAGGGATAAGTGATCCCTTTTAGTTTGATGGGCTGTCTTCTGTGTGGGTGATGATTGATGACCATGTCCCATCAGGTTTCTGAGGCAGCACTGGCAGGTGCTGAGCTAACATAAGACCATAGATGCCACTGGAAGTTTAGGAAGCTGGAGGCAGTTTCTACCCTAGGGCTGGGCTCTTGCCCTAGTTGAAAAGCCATTTTGTAGTATGAGGGCAGTTCCTGTTTTGATTAATAGCTATAAGGAAATCCAGTCACCAGAGCCCAGAGCAGCTGAGAAAGAGGGCTATTTGCTTCCTCTAGGCTGAGAGTATCTGTTGTAAGATATGCAAGAGGGTAAACCTTAGGATGCCAGCAGAATTAGCTCAATTTCCACACACTGATCAGCATCCAGGCAGGAGATCGCTCTCTCCACAGCCATTCTGAGATTCATTTCTAGTCTCCTTAGAACAGGAAGAATTGGTACCAGCTTACCCCCAGGTCCTAAATGTCTGCCCTCTAGTCTCTTCTTTTCTCCCTTCTTCTCCCCTTCCCCTATGCTCCACCTCTTTTTTCATCTGTTTCTTCCCTTCACTTTACCCCATCACCTAAAGGTGGCATGGTGCAGTGGAAAGACCATGGGCTTTGGAGTCAAGCAGACTTTGGTTTGAATTTCACCTCTAGCACTTCCTAGCTGTGTGATCTTGAGCAAGTCACTTTACCTCTCTGAACCTCAGTTTCCCCATCAGTGAAACAGGAATAAGGAATAGTACCTACCTCATTGGGGAGTAAGGATCAAACAATATGGCAGAGGTAGAGTGTCTGGCACATGGTAAATATTTAGTAGATGGTAGGAACTAATTACCATTATTCCTATCTCTTTGTTTCTCTTCTCTTCTCTCTCTCATCATCTTTTTCTGCTTTTCCCCATTTCTTCCTTCCCTCCCTGCCCTCTGGCTCTCTCTACATCTCAGAGCAATGCTTGCTGCTCTCAAGACTGGTTCCTGTGGACAGGCACCCCACTTGCCATTAACCATAGCAGGAGGCCCCAATGAACAAGGCCAGAGGGAAAGTTCCATCTCCCATTTTCTCCTGTGGGAATCAGGGTCAGCTGAGGCCCAGTTTGAGCCTGCCCACTGGGTCCCAGAAGCTCAGGCCTGGGGTTCCTGGAACACTTCTCTGCCCTAAATACCTCCCATGGATATTCACATGTGCTGGCAGTGTCACCCTTCATCTTCAATACCTGCCCCTGCTCTCCAGCTCCACCTGCCTGTGTACACATGCACAGCCCCTTCCACCCAGAATGAATCCTTCCCCTGAGTGGGTCTCTGGCTTTGTGCCCTGGCCCACCTGCTGCTACCTCCTTCCAAACTGGGAAGGGGTTGGTTGAGAGGGGCTGTTGGGGACAGGGAGGTGGGGCAGGGAGGTGCAGGGAGGCCAGCACAGCAGAGGCCTGCAACACCATCATCCTAATAAAGGTCTGGGCCTCAGCCCACCCATTCCCTCAGTTCTTGCCATCCCTCCTGCCTGTCCTGGGCCCAGGCCCAGAGCTGGCTTGCTGGGCCACACTGCAGTCATGCTGTTTTTGAATTCTCTCTCTGTTTTGTTCTCTGTTCTGTGCTGTTGTGTCTCCCCGTGTCTGGTCCCCAGGATCCGGCGCTAAGAAACAGGGCGAGGACTTAGCGGATAATGACGGGGATGAAGATGAAGGTATTTGGGGGCTGCAGGGCGCGGCGGCTGGTGCATGGCACAGAGCCCCTCCCCTTCTCAATGGGGAGAAGCCCCGTCTGTCTGTCTGTCCGTCTGTTGGTGTGTTTCTGTTCCTGTATGAGGCCGTCAGGCTGTTCCTCCGTCTTTGGCCTTGTGGGCCACTGGGAGTTCCGGGGTGATGGACATGGCTGGCAGGAGCAGGGGACCACAGGCAGAGCCATGGGGAGGGCATCTTCCTCACCCCAGCCCCATACCCTCCCCTATCTTCTATAGTTCATGGGCACCTGCCCCTACTGAGCAGCAGGGAGAGTGGAGAACAAGTGGGACCTGGGGAGGGTGGCGAGAGGGGACCAAGGAAAATGAATGCTGAGGAACTGATGTTTCGGGGAGGAGACCCCTGTACCTTAGAGGGAGCCTGGCTCCCAGGACAGGGGCCAGCTAGTCAGCACTCTGAGAAGTAAGATAGTGACAAGCAAACGGGCTAGAACCTCCTCATTATTGTCCCAGAAAGAGAGAGAGATGATGATCACAGAGTTACGAGCTGCAGGAGGTTCAGGAAAGAACAAAAAAGATGTGGACTAACGTGCCAGGCTGAGGCCAGGACACCACAGCTGTCAGTAGATGGCACAAGCTCCTTGGCTGATGATCGGCACAGCCTGCCTCCTTGGGGTTACAGATTCGTTCGTTTTACAGCAGAGCATTCCCCTCTACCTCCATGCCCTCGTCCTGCCCCTTCACCCCTGGAGGGGCCAGACAGCTCAGGGGGGCCCACTGGTGATGGGTAGGGCTATGTTTGTGTGGCAGAGTGTTGGTCCAGCTCACCAACTGACAGGTTTCAGGCAAAGGTGAACAGGCCTGGAAACTTCTCTTGACTGCCCCAGCCCCAACGCCATGTTGCCTGGGATTGGGAGCAGCCACTTGCTGGGCCCTCATTGAATGGCCTCTGGGGAGGCTTCATCTTCATCTTATTGCTGACTGGGAGCAGGCTCTCTCAGTTCTGCCCCAACCCCAGTATTTCTGGTTAAGTCTGCCTGGGAAGAATGGGGTAAATGGGCACGTGGCTGAGAAACCATGTCAATAAGGTTTCCCCAACCCTATCTCTGCTATTCACTCCCCTTTCCCCACATCCTTCCTTGTTCTCTCCCTGTGCCACCCCTTATTCCCACCCCTCTTGTCTCTGTCTGCACTGGGGGGCCAGCTGCTGCCAATGGCCGTTTTTCCATGTAAATGGTCTAGTCTTGGGGGTTTCAGGGCTCCCCAGCCCCTGCTCTCTAAAGCCATGTCAGGTCCCAGGACTCCCAGGTGCCCAGGGCAGGGACTCACCTAATGCAGCTAAGAGACTAGTCCTCCCTCTTCCTGCTGCCTCCCCACCCCCAGAGCCCAACCATGGCTGACCTAGGCCTAGAAGTATCTGGCTATCTTCAGTTGGGAGGCACTTGAAATCCAAGTCTCTCAAAACATCTCTGAAGTTCAAATATCTCTGACCAATTCTTGAGGTCCGGGATGAGCAGCCCCCAAGAGTCCTGCCCTCAGGGATGGCAGTGGTGTCCTGGCACCTGGGATAGCTTTGCTGCCCGCACCCCCCCAGGGCTGGCGGGGGTGGGGGAGGAAGGGCAACCTACCCAGCCTGTGTCTCACCCCTTCTCCTTGCAGATATTCGGGACAGTGGTGCTAAGCCTGTCATGGTCTACATCCACGGAGGCTCTTACATGGAAGGGACTGGCAACATGATTGATGGCAGCGTCCTTGCCAGTTATGGCAATGTCATCGTCATCACCCTCAACTATCGAGTTGGGGTACTAGGTATGTTTCCTGCCAGGTGCCTAGAAGGAAGACTGGCATCTCACGGAGGGAGGGAAGAATGCCAGAGAACTCAAAACAGGCTGCCTTGATTCTCTAGCTGGCGTAATGATCATAGTCAAAATGTCGTTATCCCATAACCCCTATCTAAGTTCTGGGGGCTTCCACATATCCCCAGGCCCTTTCTTGGAATATTAAGAGGCCACTGGAATTGCAGTTCAAACTCATCCCTTCTCTTAGATTCCAAGCCAGGTCTCTGCACCCAGACTTTTACTTGGCTATTTTGTAAGGTCTATTTATTCGCTAGTATCCTGTTCCTTACCCACCCAGCCCTATGTTCCTAAAGATCCTATATATAGAGAAATATTCCTTTTATTCTACCCCATGTCCATAGAGTCATATACCATTGTATGTCCACCCTCCACCTACCCCCATGCATATAGTTATTTCTCACCCACAAAGCACACATGCATATAGCTCCATGTCCACATCATAGACTCCCTCACCTATCGACATATTCTCCTGCCACTCCACATATATACTCCAAGTGTAGTCTCTTCCATACACATATACACATAACCACACATTCTATATGCTCCACACTCACACAGGTTTCTCTCACATTCCATACACACACACACAAACACACACATTCTCCTAATACTTCTCCCTATATCTTATCATATCTACACCTATCCACACTCACACTTTCCTCTACCCCCATATTTACACAAAGACCTACAACCTGCACATTTTTATCAACACCTAAACCCCACATACATTAAATGTTCATAAATAGTCCTTCCACCCACCCACACACATGCATACACACTCATATCCTCCTACACATCCCACTTTATCTACTCCACACACCCACATACTACACATACACACACATCTGTTCCTCACTTTCTCCATGTAAAACAAACTAATATTTTCCCTCCCAATATGCATATATAATCCTTACCTGTATGTCCAGACTGCCCAATCCCACATATTCACAAATACTACACACACTCTCTCTGCCCCCATATATATCCTCTTCCCACATCTTACACACATACCATAAGCTACATTCATATATTCCCCCATATATACACACACCCATAGACCCCCTACACATATATACACACACATATATGTATGCATACACACATATACATACTCTTCCCACACATGTCCTACATATATATATATATATATATATATATATATATATATATATACCCAATATATGCATGTGTATTTATTCCTTCACCCCACACACATCCATGTACCTAAAGCTGCATCTACACACACACACACACACACACACACACACGTCTACCTGCAAACACATTCATGCTTCCTCCTACACTTACATGCCCCACATATCTACCCTCTACCCAGCATCACCCTTGGTGATCACCAATGCCTACCTGTAGCCAAAGTCTTAAGGGAAACAAGTGCCTCAGAGAGGCCAATGATACACACAGGGCCTTTCTCCCTTTAAGATGCTCACACAGGCCCCATGTCCCTGTAGTGGCATGAAGAAGCCAACTTTGTGTGGCTTTGTGTCTTCAGAAGGATTTGTGTCTTCAGAAGTTCCATTAGGGCCTAGGCTGATGGAGACTGAACCACCAGTTAGGCCTGGCTTATTCCATGGCCAGCCGGGGAAGAGGACCTTATTTTAATTTGCTCTTAACTATATTGCTTTGCCAGTTCCAACCCCAGAGGTCCTGGTGCTGTATTTCACTTTTTTGTGTGGTTGTGTGCACAGAAAGGCAATCTCCTGTTGACTTACCTGTGTGCAATAGTAGGATACCTATTTTCAGCTCAGAGTGGAGAAATTATATTCTCTGAAAAAAGCAGTCTGTTTCCCCTTCAGCAGCTCCTGAGATCAGGTGGAGCATGCAGAGCATGCTCCTGGTCTCCACACAGCCTGGTGAACTTGGATCTCATAGTTCTGCCCATGCTCCTCTATCTTTCTGCAGTGCCTCAGACACTATAGCAGGGCTCTTGTAAGTTCTTCTATCCTGTAGAGAAAGGAGATCTGAATGTCATAATACTGTAAAGGTGACTGTACACTAGGACTGCACAGTTCCTAAAGTGTAATGAATGCACAAACATAATAACATGCAGATATATAGACATGCATACAGGGTAGTTGATAGCTAAAAGTAATTTTTCTTAGAGTAATAGAAAATATTCATTTCAGCTGCTTTTAAAAATTATAAAACACAAAGCTACATTCTATAAGATTTATTGGAATGTACTGAGAATACTAAGAATATACTTCAGTTGTAAATTATCGGGCCAACGAGGAATGGAGGGAAAGAGTGTGGAAGAGAGGGAAAAAGGGACAAGTGAGGTAGAGAAGAAGAGGACTGGGGAGACAAAAAAGAATGATGGTAACATGGGGAAACAACACAAAGAAGAGGCAGAGGAGAGGCTCATAAGATTTAAGAAGAGACAGAATTATAATAGGATATGAGGTCTCCACGGTGTCAGTTGGGAGCTGTGGGCTGCACAGAAGGTTGTCATTGGTGAGCACTCTGTATGATGTCCTGATTTGCTGATTACTTCATCACCCTTCAGCTGCTCTAATCCTTAAGCTTCTATATCAAAAGTTCTTAAACTTCTGGGGAGTCTTGGGCTCTTCTGAGATTCTGATGAAAGCTATGGACTCCCCAAAATGAAACACACGCATTTACAAAAACAATTTCACAGATCCCCTTAAAGCTCATCCGTGAAACTCAGGCTAAGAACCCCTACTTTACAACCTCCTCTCGTTGGGATAATCAGAGCAGCACATGTGGGGGAGCAGGAATATTATTACTTGGGTTTAAGCAGTTGATGATCCCAATAATATTACCCCACACTCATAAGTAGTTATAAACTGAGATTTGGTCAGAAGTTCCCTCACTACTTCCTGTGTACCCTTTAGTTCCTGTTCTGGAACACAAATATAATCAATAAGCCACTGATTGCATTCTGGGTACATACAAGATGTTTTTGTCTCTTGGCACCAGATGTAGTACATGGGTTTGTCCCTGACACATGGGGATTTTGCTGTGTAGCTGAGGCTTTGTTGCTTTGTTTCCCAAAGCACCACAGAACAGGTGGCCAGTTTTGGACCCCAATTATCTGCATTCATTCACCCTCCCTCCCATCAGCTTCTCCTGAGCACTGAGCCCAAACAGACGCTTCACTCTAAGGTGGTTCTCTAGACATCTTGGCTGATTCATGTATGTTGACAATGTCACAGTCTAGTCCCTGGATTCCCTCCAGCACAGAAGGGTAGCTATTATTTGAGAAGCCCCAACTGGGCTTGGGGCCAACAAAAGAAAAGGACTCCAGCAGGTTATAGGATGTGGATTCTCCTGGGGTTGAGGAAATAGGGGCTTGCCAAGTTTTATTCTGGGTTCCAGAATTAATTTAATTCTATTTCCTTACTCAGGTACCCTCCAGGCAAACTGAGAACCCAGTACACACCAAGCCTTGAGTGACACAGATATCTAGCTTTGACACAGTCTGCCAGATTCCCCCATCTTCTGTTGATAAGCTTACCATGTATTGCAGTATCAACTTGGGCCCAGGGAGACTGGCTCAGATTTATTCTGACAGTGCATAGAGTTGGCTTCTTCAGCCTCCATTCTCTTGGTTTCTGTAGATGGGAGAGATCCTGGAGAAGTAGCAGCATGTGACTGCTCTTCCAGATCACCAGATTTTGTGTGCTCCGGGTCAGTCATGTTCACCATATCAACTGCCTGAGCCTGTTGGATATGGTACCTGAAGCAGGATTCTTCATCTTCATTGGCATGGCACCATCCACATACTTCAATGCCCCTTATCCAGAGGCTCATGGGATTTAAGAGAGCAGAGAGGGGTTGTCAAACCATCCACCTAGGCTTTCAGACCTTAGTTCCTAACCCAGAAAATCAGTCCATATTAAAGAAATTTACTACATTCAACTGCAGGCTTTTTCCTGCTGATTGGGATAGACATTCTTGACACATTTCGTTAGATGATGGCTTGGTGAGGGCTGAAGCCAAATCTGCTATTGCCTAAGTAAGAGAAAAGGAAAAATGAATGTGGGGGAGAGAGATAAGGGGAAAGGGGGATGAACAGAAGCACATCAGAGGGGTCTCAAGGCTTGGGCACCTGAGTTGGGTCTTGGTCAGCATAGATTTTAAGGGGTGCAGGAGCAGCATCAGTTTCTTCATGGGCCAGCCTGAGAAGCTGGTTCCCTCGTCCAGAGAAACAAGGACTCCTCAAGTTCATCCTTGTTCAACCTTCCCCTAATTCCTTCTCCTTTCCTCATCTGAACCCTGGGGCTGAAAACAGGATTTGTGACTAGGTCCTTGAAGGAATAACTAAGTGCTTTATGTACTTAATCGTACCAAATATAAATTAATAACACACTTGAAGAGGGTAAGATGAGCTCTTTCGTAGAAGTTAGGCACAGAAGGATTTGAGAGAGACAGTGATGAGGTCTTATGCCTGCTTGAGACCATTTGTAATTAGCCTCTTCCCGTGGACTGCCAGACTTCCAGAGAGCTTTCTGAGAGCTCTGGACGCCTTCTCCAATATGGCCTTACACCAAGTTGATTCCAGGAGCTGTGAATGAGCTTTTAACTGTGGAGTCAAAAAAAAAAAAAATACTGATCCAAGTATGGGTTTCTATGTGGAGGAGCACTGTAATTACCCACCTGGAAAGGAACCTTCCAAAAGCCTAGGGCAGGAGAAGCTAGGACCTTCCATGGGACCTGGGAATCATGGAAAAGAGATGAAACAAGGCAGCAGGATCAGTCTAAAATGGAAGCAGGATAGGGGGGGGGAATATAGGACATCCTCTGTGGGATAGCCAGCAGGTGGGCGGGAAGGTAATCTCCATGGCAACAAGTCTCTGAGGCAGCAAATCCCAGCAGGTGGGTGGGAAGGTAGTCTCCATGGTGACATGTCTCCTCAGCGGCAAATCCCAGTGGGTGGGCGGGAAGACCTGTTTCTGTGGTAACGCAGAGCACTGACTTCCCCATTTCTCCACTAGATGAAAAAGATGGTCTAAGCCACTGGCTTCTCAACTTTAGAAGGCATTAGCATCACCTGGAGCTAGTTAAAAATCCAGATTGCTGGCCAGGAGCGGTGGGTGTAATTCCAGTTACAGGAGGCTGAGGCAGGAGGATGGCAAGTTCAAGGCCAGCCTCCTCAAATTAGTAAGCCCCTGTCTCAAAATAAAAAAGGCTGGGGATGTAGTTCAGTGGTTTACCACCCCTAGATTCAATCCCCAGTACTGCAGAAGAAAAGATAAACACGGATAGCTGAGCCCCACCCCCAAGGTTTCTAATTCACTAGATCTTAGAGGAAGGGAAATAAGGATGTGTCCTGAGAATAAGGGGAAGGAGGTGGGGCATCCAAGGTCCTGGAAAGAAGTGGAAATGGACTGATTTGTATAGGAAGGGCAAGGAGAGCTTAGGAATTGTTGCCTTTTGGGATCTTCCTTTCCTTCAGAGAGAGCGGAAAGAAGAAAGAAATAACTGTAGCTCTACCATGTGCTGGGCTTATGCTCATTTTAATCATTGTTATAGCCCCATAAGGTATTTTAGTCCCATTTTGCAGAAAGGAAAACTATGGCCCAGAGATTTTAAGTAACTTGCCCAAGACCACATGGCTAGGATGTGATAGAGTCAGGATTCAAACCAAGGACTATCTGACTTTAAAACCCCCTTCATGTATATATAGTTCAAGGCCAGCCTCCTCAAATTAGTAAGACCCTGTCTCAAAATGAAAAGGACTGCAGATGTATATATTTCTACATCCCCAGTTCTTTTTATTTTTATATTCCCCTTTTTTTTTTCTGGTACCGAGGATTAAACCAGGGTTGCTTAACCACTGAGCAATATCCCCAGCTCTATTTTTATTTATTTATTATTTATTTATTTTTATGTGGTGCTGAGTATCAAACTCAGGGTCTCACACGTGCGAAGTGAGCACTCTACCACTGAGCCACAACCCCAGCCCTATTTTTTTTTTTTAATTTTGAGACAGAGTCTCACTATCTTGCTGAGGGCCTTGCTAAGTTGCTGAGGCTAGCCTGAAACTTGTGATCCTCCTGCTTCAGCCTCTGGAGTCACTGGGATTACAGGCCTACACCACCATGCCTAGCTTCCTATATCTTAACAGATGTTAGAATCATGTCTCCAGATAGTATATCTGGTGGAGGATGCTGAATTCTGGCCTTTTACAGTTCCTGCAGTAGAGGAGGCAGCCATTTTAAATGGCCCAACCCTTTGTTCCACACTGGATAATGGATGGGAAGCAGGGAGCCCACCTTTCCTGTATTGATGATGCTGGACCTTGCAGAAAGGAGTGATGATTTATGTTAGCAAGGTAGAAAGAGCTATGTAGCTGCCGGTTGATCTTTTGTCTAACTTCTGCTTTCCATCATAATCCAAATTCTCCATCCCTCTGCCTTCACTGTCCTCATGCCCTTTGTTGAATCTAGGTTTCCTGAGCACTGGAGATCAGGCTGCCAAGGGCAACTATGGGCTCCTTGACCAAATCCAGGCCCTCCGCTGGGTGAGCGAGAATATTGCTTTCTTTGGAGGAGATCCCCGCCGTATTACCGTCTTTGGCTCGGGCATCGGTGCATCCTGTGTCAGCCTCCTCACACTGTCACATCACTCTGAAGGTGAGTAGCTCTTGGGGCAAAACATGGACTAGCCAAATGTTGGCTAAGTATCCTGAGTCCCAGGCTTTGCAGGCTTCAGATTGCCCAACTCCATGCCCCAGGAGCACTCAGAGGAAGCAGCCAGCCCTCTTCCACAAGCTCCAGATCCCTTTGAGGAGATGTGGAAGAGAGAAAAATCTTTCTCTAGGCGAAGAAGTATTTCTCCTAATGTGAGGGAGGGCAGGAGAGAATCCCATTTACACCCTGAGTGAGCAAGATGTTCCTTCTGATGTGGGAAAGTGGGGATACAATACCTCTCTCTGAAAGGACAATAGTTCTTTGGGCAGGGGAAGTTTTTCAGTATGGTAAAGACACATTACTTCAGAATCAAGATCTAGGGTGGAAATTAGTTTCTAGGTGTAAGAAACACTCATTTCTGTTTTTCCCTCTGAAGAACAAGTCTGTACAAGAGGGAAAATGTTCTTGAGCAGGGGGAGGAGGGTTCAAAGTGAGAATCCCGCTGGGTGTTGTGGCACATGCCTGTAATTCCAGAGATTCAGGGGCCTGAGGCAGGAAAATCACAAGTTCAAGACCAGCTTGGGCAAATTAAAGAGACCCTGTCTCAAAATAAAAAAATTAAAATGGCTAGGGTTGTAGTTCCGTGGTAGAGCTCCCTGGGGTTCAGTCCACAGTAACTGCAAAAATAAATAAACAAACAAAATTAACATCCCTGACCTGCAAGATTGGCTTCTTCTGAGGGGAGACAGTATATAATTGGACTGTAGACCTCCTCCTAGGTTGTACAACCCACCTAAAAGAGACATTCATTTTTACCCTCTGTCCTGGTGGTGGGTCCCTCTGCCAGTAACCCTTCCAAGGCGTTGAATAGGCCCCTTTTCACTCTGCAGGGAATGTTCTCTCCACCATTAGACTAGAGAGAATATCCTGCCTCTGAGAGGTGTCATCCCATCTACTTAGAAGGCTGAGGCAGAAGAATCACAAGTTGGAAGCCAGCATCAGCAGTTTAGCAAGACCCTGTCTCAAAATTTTAAAAAAAAATTAATTAAAAAGGGCTGGGGATGTAGCTCAGTGGTAGATATCCCTGGGCTCAATCCCCACTACCACATACTCTCTCTCTCTCTCTCTCTCTCTCTCTCTCTCTCTCTCTC